ATACCGTTACTAAATGATGGAATGAATGTAGACCATTTTCTGTGTTTGTTTCTCAAACTGTTACGGGAGTGGTAAAAAACCTACAAAAAGTTCTTGTGAACGTCATATTAACCTTTTACGACACTCCTATACGTGATGGCTCAGTATCCGTCATGTATGATCTTCTCTTATGGCTTTTAACTGTTACAGAAGGTCTGATTTTGTGCGGTGTTGAGGTCTTGTTTAGGTAGACACCATGACAACCACGGCTCGAGTTTTGCCACCTATTTGTTTTGAAGTTGAATAAGGTTGACATTTTTCTGTCTTTACTTCTCTTGTACCCATGTTATATTTGCTGCAAGCACTAACTTGTCGATGATATTGAGAAAAAATTGATCATACCGTTAAGGGATAAAATCTCACGCCAAATAAAGATAAAAATATAGACCAACTTATAAAGGCTTGAGCTCTACTTCTCTTAACAACGTTGACATTTTAAGATGAAACCCATGTCTTAATACATACATTGTAAATCAAAATCATTCTTGACATTTTAATCGACATATCCAAAATTTTTAGAAATTTGCTATTGTGTCAACATCCATAGCTCGTTGCAAATCGTCTGTGGAGACTGGTAGTACTATCAGATGCATGAGACGAAGAATAATGTGACGACTGCTTCCGACATATTTTGACGTTAATCAGATCAGCAATGAGCTCGGGCCATGATATCATCTGTTTCAATCCCATTTTTCAGCAACTTGATGGCTATGGACATTCCGAGGGGGAGAGAGAGTTTCTTGCAAGCCAAGCAGCCCGACTTTTTAAAACCGAATAGCTTCTTCTTTTGGAAAATCTCCATTTAGTATGAGATCCACTAGCTTTCGAGGATTGCTGGCATTGTATAGCTCCCATGCCTGCACCAGAAAGTAGGTATTATTATCCATGATATTTTCCATTGGGTTTTATCAAATTTGTATAATTTTTTAATTTATTTAAAGCTATGTGTTACTCCGCGTCAATGAGGCTCTAGTCAGAGTCACTTCGCAAAATCTATCACAAAAAACATGAGCATGCGCATGCGTGTCAAGTGATTGTTGTGATACAACAAAAAATGGCTGAGCCGAACTCATATGATGGAACCGGATCCATTAGTTGCCATCGAGCTACTGCAGATGAGGCATACCACACTAGAGTGGCCTCAATAGAGGATCTTCATGAAAGATCTTGTTGCAAGTGGATGATTTGACGTATCACCGAAAAGATTGTCCCACTCAATCAACTGGTCATGTCAAGTCTTGCACCATTGCCGCATTCATTGCAATCTAGCCTAAGAATGATTGATAGAATGCTTATGACAATGAAAGTCTAGCCGAGCGGATGAAGCCACGTGTATCTTCGTCTGACGGCTTACCTTTATCACCTTATACTATAAAAGACCACAAGTAATCCCATTCAAATGTAATGCAAATTCACATGCTCACAATATACTAGTACTTTACTCTATTGTTCTATTCGCTACAGTACCCCAATTCCGACTCCTTTTTTACTTTGATAAATTGGTCCAATTTTGTCTCACATCCAATTATATATTCCACCCTATTGTTTTGACCATCGGAGTTCCTACGGCCACTTCCCCATTTGGTCATATGCCCTAACAGTTTTTCCAAGTGTGTAGGAATACAACTTACTTGAACTTTAGAGGAGCTAGGATCTATTGACCACGTCACCTCTATAAAAAGTGAGGTCAACAATTTGTAACTCTATAAATAGTGATTTGTTCTTTTCTCACCTTCTCTATCGAGAACAACTCATCAAATTCTATGCTATAAAACTGCTTGATTGCTGACAATTTCCAGTAGCAGCATGCGGAAGCTGTAAACATTAGATTTTCACGTCGTCAATACTGGCATATTCTGGAGAAAGTTAAGCCTCTTTGTCATTTGAGGTAGCAAGAAATAAGGTTAGCAACATCATTCTGGACCAACTGAAGCCACACAAATTTGATAAATTCAACACTTAAAACTCCCCGGTATACTAATGCGGATATGTTGTCTCTGAATAGCTTAGCTAAACCAAAGTCCGCAAATATTGGTGTAAAATTCTTATTAAGAAAAATGTTTATCGCTTTGATATCTTGATGCATGATATGTGGGTCGACCTGTTCATGGAGATAGAAAGTGCCTTGACATCACCTAACGAAACGTTCCACCTCAAAATCCAAATAACTTTCGTTCTGTTTTGTTCTGCCCCTATCAAGCGACAAAGGAGGGAAGATATATTTCCATATGATTAAGTTTGAAGACTATTTTGCATAAATTAACAAAAGAATTATGCGAGGAAGTGCATGAGACTGTCGCTTTCCATGTAATCATAGACCAAAATTCTTTTAACTCCATCAACACAACAGCCTCGGATAGCAGCAAGATTTTCATGCTTGATATCCGATAATATAGCTATACTTGAAATAAATTCCCTTTCCCCGTGCATCGATTCACGTTCAACAAATCAAACTTTGATACCACATGAATGCCACCTAGAAGCTCTCGCTAAATAGGGATGACAAAAAAGCTCGCCGGCTCGGGCTCGGCCGGAAAAAAGCCTGAGCTGGGCCCAGGCCTGCCCGTGATTAATAAAAAAAAATTAAAATTAATTAAAAAATT